CTATGGATGCACTGGGTTAAACTGAAAGCTTTATCACAGTAACCCTGCTGACCTCATGTTTAGCATGTTGGCTTCTACTGCCAGTCACGGGCATGACTTCTACTTCACCACTCCAGTGTCGAGAGCCCTTTTATTGTAAACTGCCTGAAATACCTTTGGAAAGAGAAGCTGTGTATAAACAAACACACACATCCTGGCTTCTGGAGGTCTCTCGCTTGCCACATGCATATCCAAGTCAAATCAAACCAAATAGTACCTATGGCCTCCTGTCAACCAGTAGGAGAACCAGGCCAAATAAACACGTCGGAGTCTGGGGTAAGAGAAAGTCTAGTGTCAACCAAAATAAAGCTCTACCCCTCACCCATCTGGGTTTGATTTCAAATCAAAGCTGGATTTGAATCTCAATTCTGTCATTGATTAGCTGGGAGTTCTTGAGTAGATGACAACTCTCTAAGTTTCAGGTTCTACAGTTTCAAAATGGGGGATGTAAAAAACTAATATCAATATCATAGATTCATGTTATTTTAAGGGTTGAATGAGACAATCTATATAGTATGGAAAGCACCTAACAAATGATGATGTTATCACTTCCGTCTTTTCACTTTACTAACAAATGCTCATATACATAGGCTTACTATGTGCCAGGCACTGTTCTAGCAAGAACTTTAGCAATATTAACCCACTTAATCCTATAACTTCCTCTGAGAATAAGTACTATTGTTATCTTCATTTTATGGATGAAGAAAACAAGCCACAGAAAACTAAAGGTGATCACAGTGAGATTACATGTACACACCTGGTAAGTGGCAGAGCCAGGATTTGAACCCTGGGAACCCTGTTCTGGGGGCCATGCCCTTCACTACTAGACTGGCTGCTTCACAAAAGGCATGTCACTGAAGGGGTGTACTTCAGAAAAATGGGAGCCACAGAAACTTTGATGCCTTGTCTTTGTTTACAACAAGTAGAGTTCCCTTCTTTGCCCTCAAATCCCCAAAAGTAGGTTGGCAAAACCAGGATAAGATTCTTGGAGAAACTTGAGATTAGGGGTGGGAGTCGGGTGTCGAGAGCATGAGCTTAGAGGGGAGGGGCTGCTCACAGAGAGCAGGAAAGCTCTCCCTGGGGTCAGCAGGAGAGAGACCACCCCTGGTGACCCTTGCTGGGTCAGGGATGAGTGTGCCAGCCCAGCAAGGCTGAGCCCACCCTCCCTTCGCTGCTTGGGTGATGGAGGTGCCTAGACAGGGAAGGGCAGCTCATGGATTTGC